ATTGCGCTTAGGTTGGAGGCCATTGCGCTTAGGTTGGAGGCCATTGCTCTTAGGTTGGAGGCCATTGCTCTTAGGTTGGAGGCCATTGCTCTTAGGTTGGAGGCCATTGCTCTTAGGTTGGAGGCCATTGCTCTTAGGTTGGAGGCCATTGCTCTTAGGTTGGAGGCCATTGCTCTTAGGTTGGAGGCCATTGCGCTTAGGTTGGAGGCCATTGCGCTTAGGTTGGAGGCCATTGCTCTTAGGTTGGAGGCCATTGCTAGTAGGTTGGAGGTCATTGCTCTTAGGTTGGAGGCCATTGCTCTTAGGTTGGAGGCTAATAGGTTGGAGGCCATTGCAAATAGGTTGGAGGCCATTGCTAGTAGGTTGGAGGACATGGCTAGTAGGTCGGAGGCCATTGCTAGTAGGTTGGAGGCCATTGCTAGTAGGTCGGAGGCCATTGCTATGTGTTTGAATGCATGTAAAGCTTCCTTTATATGCGAAAAGGTTCATGGGTGAAGTTCCTAAGATGAAGGGTAGATAAGTAAGCTGTCGTGTAGTTTAAAGCTAATTACTGGGTGCTGGGATGCAGAAATTATGTTTTTCAAGGGCCCGTCGCATGATTGATTTGGTTACTCCATGGTTTCCCTAACCTTTTCTTTGGCCTTTCTTTTGTCCTTTGTGCTAGAGCCACTCCCGTTGGTAAAGCTGACAGATTGGATCAGATATTTCATTGAATAGAATAACATTCAGAAACTGAATTGTTGAAACAAACTAGCTACTTGAAAAAACAATAGTTTTATATTTATATACATGTAACAAAGGATGTCGAACTGTGTTGCCGATGTTGGGGTGCAGATGCCAAAGATTCTGAACACTGATCCATTCCGGGAATTCCTTCATTCTGCTTTTTGCCTCAACTCTATTCAGTCCAGAACTGCAACTTGGTGTTGTGGCGCAGGAAGGCAAAAGGGCAAACTCAGTGCCTGAAAAATGTACAAGGACATGGACCCTTTACCTCACTTTTGCCTCCTGGGCTCTTCGAGCTAAATTCCGGTAACTAGATCAAGTAAGATATGAGGATCCGACAAAATCTACTAATGTAGTCACAGGGCGGACGGGATACCTGAAATACACATTGGTGGCGACCCATGCAAGGCTATGTCTCTAGGCTAGGCAGCAGATTTTGTCCCGCACATTCCAGCACTCATGTGTTATGTTGACATCGTTCCAAAGATTCCGACTTGGTCAGTCCTGCAACTCAGGTCGCGACGATGAGAGTAACGTGGTGTAGTCTAGTTCTGCAATTGCTTCGGCAGTTGCTGTGGAACGTCGGCTTGCCATAAAATGCAACAAGAAGTTAGTTGAGCACAGCTTTTGATTTGCAATTGCTTTAGTTTAGACCTTGGTGCCCATGTTCCACTCTGTCAAAGCGCGTGTTCCACAATGATCTCCTGGACTCCATTGATAATCTCTGTGTGACCCACACATTTCAAGGGTCTGGAATGGAAAATAGAGAGAATGCCCTTGGTTAAGTGGCAAAGTCTGTCATCGCGCGATGCTGCCTCCACTTTATTGCGATGCCCTGAGGCTTTAGGTATATCGTGTCATGGTCACAGTCTCAACGCAGGAGACACGTGGTGACACATTCAAGCGGACAGCTGCGAAAATAACTATATACGTAGCGTTTTGCATCGGCAATTTCAATATAAAACGCCAGGACGCTATATAGTATATTGCTTGTAAGATAGAAAAGTCGAAGCCTTTCGTTGAGTGGCCGTGTGCCATGGAGACCGTGGAACCAATGCAGAGTTCTTTCAAGTCATCACCTCAGAATGCGTTCTTTTTTTCTGTGTTTCTGGCATTTGTATGCACGGTTCATTCTCTAGCTTCGTTTTTGCTTGAGCCGCTTTGGAATTTTGGGGAATTGGGATGGCATGAGTCGTTTTGCTCAGGGACAAACCTTTCAACATTATGGCTATCCAGGACTTCGCAAACTTTAGCCGTGTTGTTTCTTCTTGTTGCTGACATGGACGACGTGCTTGCCAACTTGCCTTGACTTGGAAGTGTCGTTCTCAATGTCGAAGCAGAGGAACCTGTTGAGCAATCCGACGCGGAGGTGCCTGAACATATTGCTC